CTTACCACAGATATCTGAATCATGTTCCTGTATCCTGCACTCCTCCATCTATGGCTTCCCAAACTGCTCTTTCATTTCAAGTTTAGTCTGTAAACTCTCTGGACCAGGATGGTCTTTTTGCTATGGCTGTACAAAGCCTGAAAGACTCTGGGAACCTGTGGGTGTTACCACAAAAGAAGCAAAACAGAAGCAGTAGTAGGAACTACTGTTAATTTAAAAAGAAAATACCAGGTTTTAGGGCTAGTGGCCTTTTAAATTCATTTGATTTCACCCTGCTCCTGAGCTGTCAACATGCATCAGATTTCTTTATGGATGCTGCATGACTAGTATTATAGAAAGAGTTGGCAGTAAGGTGAGAAACAATGTTTTGCAGCCAGTGTAGGAGGCAGTCTGAAATTATGGGCTAAACACAGCAGCTAGATGTTTTTGTTAACCAAACAGTAGTGAAATGATTAATGATTAAATGTCAGCATTGCTATTAGGTTTCAGAGTTAACAACTAATCGGGACATGAGACACTGCACATCTTGTTAATTTGATAGTTTCAGGTTAGCTGCAGAAAGAAGAAAAAGAATACACTGATACACGAGTGGAAGATTTTCTTTATAGGCATAAAACATAGAAATCCAGGTTAAGAATTTATTTGGTCTTCCAAGCTACACTTCTTTAGTCATATAAGACCTTATATCACAGATAAGCCATTTAGGGATGAATTTTCAGTTTTTAGATGCCCAATTCAAAATACTTAGGCTGTGATATTTAAAGAAGAACATGCAGGGAACTTTGAGTTCTACTGGAACTATGGATCAACTTTTAACAAGCAGACTCTACCTAAGTCTCTTTATTTCAAACCTGTTACCTGGCACATGTAAAATTACCATATTTACCCAAGATGACCCTGAATTTAAGGTGACCTCCCAAGAACTAGATTCTATGCATGAAAAATTATAAATTTGTTATAATTTTCCTTGCACAGAATCTAATTATTGGAGGGTCATCTTTAATTTGTCCCCCTCACCGCAGGGGGGGCAGACATTGGAGGGCAGGTGGTGTGGGGAAGTTAAGCAGCTTGCTCCCTGCTTGTGCTTGCCCCAGTGCCTGCACCCCTACAGCCTTGCCCCCCACTTCACCCTCTGGGCCCCCAGCCTCTGCTTCCCCCTTACCCTTCCTCCACACCAGCAGGCGCTGTCCCCATTCCAGCCTGGGGCACTGAGCATGGCCCCAGCCTAGCCCCTGGAGCAGCTGAGTAGCTTCTTAAATGGGGGGGAAAAACTTTGTTTTAGAATCGAGAAAATGCAGCAGTTTGTCATTTTGAAAACAGCTGCCAGCGCTGCAACTGATTCTGTGTAAGTGTACTCCTGAGGTATGGACACATGTACATTGGAAGATGTTGCTGAAGGGGAACATTTCAAAAGGGCAGCACCTGTTGCATTCTATTTATTATGCCCAGACAAGCAGGGAATGATACAAATACAAACTATTATTAGAGAAAAGAAAAAAAATAAGTGGTGAAATTAAAAGCACTGCCTCATTGCAATCCACTATTATACGGCAATGGGCAGGACTTGTGGCTGAGATGGAAGGACTTTTGATTTTGTGGATTCAGGATTAAACTCAGCACTGTATGCCTTTGAGTTTACCAACCATGCAACCCAAGGCTTTGAGTCTTTTTGACACTGTGAAGCAACAATGTGATGAGGGATCCAAGGATAAAAAATTCAGTGCAAGTAATGGTTGGTTCATGCATTTTAAAGGCAGGTATGCCTTGCATAACATCAGGGTGCAAGGTGAAGCTGCTAGTGCTGATGAAACTGAAGCTCAAGATTTTCCTACAAAAATGACTAAAATCATTGAAGAGGGAGGTTACTGTGCCAAGCAAGTCTTCAATATCAATGAGACTGAGCTGTTCTGGAAGAAAATGCCTTCCAGAATGTACATCGCCCAAGAAAAAACTATGCCTGGTTTTAAAGCAGCTAAAGAGAGGCTTACCCTTTTGCTTGGTTCAAACGCTGCAAGTGATTTCAAGCTCAACCTCTTGCTTGTTTATCACTCTGAAAATCCCAGAGCACTTAAGGGTTATGTTAAAGGCAGCCTTCCAGACATCTAGAAATCAAATCGTAAAGCTTGGGTGACTGGGGCCCTTTTTGAGGAACGGTTCAACTGACAATTTTGTGCTGGCTGTTCGGAATTATTGTGAGAGGAACAACCTTGCACATAAGGCATTGTTAATTTTAGACAATACCCTGGACATCCTGCACATCTTGCAGATTTAAACCCTAACATCAAGGTCATTTTCTTGCCCCCCAACACAACATCACTGCTCCAGCCTATGGACCAGGGGGTCATTTCATCTTTTAAGGCTCACTACCTTAGAAGAAACTTTGCCCAGGCCATCAGTATCACAGACCAGGAAGGTGGACCAACCCAAAAGGAATTCTGGAAGGGCTTCAACATCCTGGATGTAGTGAAGGAAATTGGAGAATCTTGGAAGGAGGTTAAGGAATCCAACTTCAAGGGTGTCTGTAAAAAACTGTGTCCAAAATTCATCTCTGATTTACAAGGATTTGCAGACCAAGTGGATGAAGTCACTGCTGATGTTGTGAAGATGGCTGGCCAGCTACAGCTAGAAGTTGAAACAGAAGAAGTTGAGGAGCTGCTGGCCTCTCGTTGCCAGAAACTGACCAATGAAGAGCTTGTCCGTCTTGAGGAGCAAAGGAAGGCAGAAAATCAGGCCCAGATTCAAGAGAGTCCTACTCAAGGTACCATGACAACAAAGTAGATGAATGAGGCCTGCAAGCATTTGGAAGCTGCAATGACAATTTTTGAAAAAATGGATCCCAACCTCAAAGACCAACAACTTGATCTCTAATGCCTGTGTGTGCTACAGGGAAATTTACAATGAGAGAAAGGGGGCAGCAAAACAAACATTCCTGGATCAGTTTCTCAAAAAGCCATCAAGTGGCCCTAAGTCTCCCCAAAAATCTCCCCATTCCATGACCCTGGTGAAGGTGTTCCTTCACCTTCCGATTAAATAAAATTAAATAGTTGATTTAAATATGGTGTTTTCTGGTCATTTCTATAAAAAGTTGGGCATCAGGCCCTTGGTCAGGAAAGTAACCCCCTATTATAACATGGTTTCTATGGGAAAATCAAATTCGACTTGCATCGTTTCGAGTTACAGTGCCTTTTCCAGGAACGTAACCTGCTGTAAGTGCGAGGACTGCCTGTATAGCAAAACCACTCCAACTTTATCACTAGATGAAGCAGTATTAAGGAGTAGTTCTGCTACATCTATACGACTCTTGACTTGTCCACGTGGAAAATCAGAATGTAACAGCTCCTGCTCTTTCCAAATGTTCCCCTTTTGAAACAGTTCCAAACATATCCTTGTACACATGTAAACTCCTTTGGTTTGAATGGGGACTCAGGCAGGCCCAGAGCTTAGGACCATTACCTCTCTATATGAAAATGTTGCACTTCTAAGAGGGGTTACGAAGGCTTTAAGACATCTTTTCCTTCATATTCTGAGCTGCTATGGCCCTCTAAAGTCAGGCAGCCTTAGAGAGTCCCTTAAGTGACAGTGATCTGTTACAAGCAGTCTGTTTCCTCCTTTCCAAACATTAATTTGTCTTTGCCATTCAGCTAAGTTAAAATCCTATCATAAGCTATCTCTGTAAGCAAAGGTCCTGTGATTAAGTTTTGCATATTTTTTGACATTAAAAATTAACAGAGAACAGTTTAGGCCCAAGGTACATATTTTACCTAGGTAAAATATATACATAGGCATACTACTCAAAATTATTATACACTCTTAACTTTTTTGTTTAGGACTTCATAAAACTAGAACCTAATAATAATTACTACCTTGATCAGCAAAGTGTTCCTCATTTGCTATGATCAACCAGAAAGACAAGTCACACAGGCTGATGCTGTTTGCAGTTACTGTACAATTTCAAAAACAGACAGAAGGCAGGGCAGTATAACACCTTATAGCCTAACTCATTCAGACAGGCATGAGTTTTCACAGGCTGCAGCCTACTTTGTTAGATGCATTTACTTCGTCATAGCATCTGACGAAGTAGGCTATAGCATACAAAAAGCTCATGCCTCTCTGAACAAGACTATCTATAAGAATCCACACTATCCTGCCTTCCTCCTGACTTCAGACAAACACAGCTAACTACTACTTTTTTCCTTTAAAAAACAGGTTCATGCTGCAGATAATGTATTCTTCCCTTATGCTGTTTTCAAAAGTATTAGGGAAAAACTGTGTATTATCAGTAGATAAGGTCTGTTTCTCACAAGAGACACAAGCACGTTAATAAGCATTTGATCAGACCTCTAGGGAGGAATTACATATCAGAGTTTAGAAGCAGTGGGAATGAGAAATAATGTCCTTCAAAACTGAAAACAGAGTAACAACCTTCTTACCACTTGAATCTGGAAATATTTTTTCCCCTTGACAGCACATGGTTTGAGACTGCACCCAACAACAAAGTTTAAAAGGCAGAACAGATATCATACAACCAGAACTGGTTTGCCTATGGATGGGATCATACCAAATTTCTTTCATAATTAAAAGATACATTTTAATAAACCAAAAAATGTAAATATTAACTAGAGAAGTAAGCTAAACATTGAGTTACTGTTGTCAATTCCACTGCTGAAATAAGAAACATTTAAAAAGTAACTAGAATATAGAAGTGAGATTTGTGAATAATACACTATCAAAACAATTTATTTTCAAACTTACAAAACAATTTGTTAACATCAAGAGAGTAATTAAAAATGTAACAGCGCACTAAACAACTGCAGGTATATTTAACTTGAAAAAATATATAATTTATTTTGTTCCCTGTGATAAATAATTTGTGATAAATTTCATTTTTTAAGATCTCTCTTTGCTTCCAATGCTCCATATAAATAAATGGCATTAATTCGTTAAGCCAATATCTTTTCCAAAGTAAAACCTAAATGAAGGGAAGGACATATGCAGCAGTGAATCGCTCAAAAAAATCTTATTTAATTTTTGCAGAAACAGTAATAGTCAGTTCAAAGGAAAGGTTCAAAACATCTAAAACTCTGAATACATAAATTTTCTCTTACAATTTCACGTCCCATAAAAATTACAAGAAAGTGAAGCTTAAAAAATGCATAACGCAGGTAATGAGCTCAAACCTTACTTTTTACAACATTTTCAAGAACATGAGGAACAGATTTTTATAAAATATTTATATTGTTACACTTCTCCGTTAAATCTAATGCCTTAATATGCAGAGTTTGCAAGATGTTGAGACTTTGATCATGTACAATAGATACAAAGAATTAATATCATTCATACAAAGATGGAATTAGAAACTAACAGTATCCTAAAAGCGTAATTTTAAACAGAACATGCACCAGTCAACAGTCTGTGTGTCAGTTAACATAGGCATTACTCACTATTTCTTATCAGACAGAAAAATGAATACATGTTTATACTTATTTACTTCAATCTCCACGGTTTTCTGAACCCAACCTGAAGACCTACTTTCTTTCAGAACAGATATTTAATCCTGAAGCATTTACTTCAAATGGCTTACTTTAAAAGTGGTGAAATACCGCCCTAAGATTGCACTATAGCATTTAATAAGAAGCTAGGATTTATGGGAGTCTTACCTGGGAAAAAATTAACAGTGAAAATCATTCTTTACCTATAGAGATTATACTCTGATATTTGTAAATGTTCCTCCCAGCTCACCCCACTCCATTTCGTCTCGAGAAAATCAAAATAAAGAAACACCTTGTAAAAATGAATACAGTACCATAATGCAATCAGAAGTGCAAGGATTTTAATCGAGCCTATTCTAGTTCCACTTACATTGACTTCAAATTGTCCCAGCAGCAATAAAAATAAATAAATAAAATAGGTTCTAGAGCTGGGGTGGGAGAGGAATCTTCTAATTAAGGCACGACAGTCAGTTTTCACTCTGCAAAGTAGTAAAATAATCAATGTGTTGGAATTTAAGAACTTCATTTCCCCAGCTGGTCCAACCAGGCTGCAGACTGCGAGCAAATAACTCCAAACATTCCATATCCGGCTTGATAAATTCTGTCAGAACCTCTGTGCGAAAGAATAAAAAAAGATGAAGATGAAAAACAAAAATCAATTTTCTCTGAGCTGTTGGGAGATGAAAACAGGAATGTTTCATTAAAAAAAAAAAGAGAGACAGCAAATTAATTCCAGGGATTTCATCAACCAGCTTGACTATTTATAGTCAGAAAGTCATTTGAAATAAGCGCCCTTGAGATTCTGAACAATAGTGTCAAAGCCTTCAATAGCCCTGATTTATCGGTTTTCATTTGGAAACAGGGAATAAGGAATTCAGCACCTACACAGGTGACATCTCAATTTTTCAATACTGTTGTCATAACATCTCCTGAGAACTAACACAACTTTTTCCACAAAAGTACAGCATTTTCCCCCCAAATTGTAATTGTTTCATTCTTTCCTCCTAAATATCAAGTATTCCTGATTATTTATTAAGGTTGCATTTTTCTATCAGCAAGTGATTAGTGATGATGCCTTGTAAAAACATGAAGGGTAAACATCATCTTAGTGTGGTATAGCACAGCAAAACGTAACTGAGTACAGAAGCAATATGGTAATTAATACAGACTTATTCCGGTTCAGTATGAAGACCTTTCTGGAAGCATTAGAAAAGTTCTATAACACTGCTGTTTCTTTTAGCATTAAAACTGTAATCTAATATTTCTCCTGCAGTTGGACTTTTAATGCCAAATGTTAGTAAGTAGGTATTTCATTTATAATATGAGTTATTTCATTGATTGTGAGCAATGGTCTGGGGGAGGGAGACTATCTTGATTCTTGGATTTTAGCTGAAAGATAATCCAGCAAATGTGCTTTTTTAAAAATGGATTAGTTGTCAGACAGATCAATTTAGCTTGTGATTGTAAAATGAACTCAATTTCAAGGACTAAGTATAGAGATATTAAATGAAAAATAAAAAGCCTACGAAGCAAAGGCTTAAAAACGGCATAGTAATGTAGGAACAATAGCCTGGAAAACCAGTCTAGACTAAGAATGTGTTCCAGCAATGTAATGTTTTGCTCCCAAGACTGACTAAACCCCTTCCTTTCTCAAGAATGATTTTGCTACTTTCCCCTCAAACTCACAGGGTTTTCACACTTCTTCCTAGTTCAGAAGACAGTACACATGCATTTTATTATCTAAATTGATCTCTCCTGCTATCATTTCAGACAATAGAATTACATCTAATCAGCATACATCAAAGCAAAGATGGGAACAGTTTTGACTGGAATCCATTGTTTGCGTGTCAAAGTTGCCAATCAAAGTGAGACGGTTGATCTGAAGCTCTCTCATCTGTTTTAAGGTCACATCGTGAATTGCTTGTGATGCTAGAGTCTGGGCATGCCTTCAAAGCTTTGGTGAAACGGTCTCCAACCTGTGGCTTGTTTGTAACATGTTGTCTGCAAAACCCTCTACCAATTTTCACAACTGCAGAAATGTTTATTTTTTTCAGTTTGACAAGGAGAGCAAAGATGATGCTGACCATGCAGTGTGTTACTTGTTTAGTAATGTTGACCACTCTTCTTGTGTGGCTGCTATTCTACTTTCTTCCTTGTCTTCCCTATATATTCCTTTCCACAAATGTCTTAAGTCACTTGAAACTTATTCAAAGTAGTTTCCAGATGTTTTAAATTTTAGAACATCCAAGTAGCACCAAATCTTTCACAAACTCACAGGAATACTCCAAGTTGCTTTTACTTTGCTGCCATTTTGCTGTTTATTTTTGTAATAACATATTTACCCAAATCTAAGATGAAGGTTTTCTACCCTAGTCAGCATAGCGAAAAAGCTCCTTGTCTTACATTTGCATACAAGGAAACCTCACTAAATACATTTTCTGTCATAAAAAATGCTGCCAAAAATCAGCATATGCTCAATACTGGAAACTGACTATCAAATTGATTTAAGGCAGCCAACACTGACCATAACTATAAAACACATGGGCCCATATTGGGCAAACATACTGATGGGTATCTTTCGTATTTTTTTCCCTTAAAAAAAAAAACAAAAAAATCAGGGGGTGTTCCCTTCATAGGGAACTGGCACCAGGCCTGGAGGTACTGCAACAGCAGGCCAGCACCAGGTGGGCCAGAGCCAGCCCTGACACTCTCCCCTTAGTGCCAAAAGTGCTATATTTGACCTTAGCCAAAAACACTGAGATGCTGAAGGGAACCTACCACAGGAATAGATTAGTACAGCCCACCTGAACAAGATACACAGAAGGACACAGTGTGCTCAGTCCCCCTCAATGTCAACTCTTTTTCCCAGTCACTACATTACATACATTTTGACTTCCTCTTTGCTCCCACAACTGAGCCATGCCTTTCTTTCCCATTTTCAATTATTCCTGTTTCTTCACCAGCCTATGTATGTCTGACATACCTTACAAATGGGGCTCCAAACACAAGCAGTTCACCCAGAAACCTTTGTCACCCCCT